TTTTAGAAGCTTAGATGGATTTGGTTTTAACTTCTATGTTGTTGGTTTAGATGATTTAACAAGTTTATACAGTTCTTCCTCTCCTATAGTAGAGAATGTGTGGAATTGTTCCTCAGGCGATCTATAGCACACTATCTGATGTGATACTGTAGCTGACGGCTGCATGGTTACAATTTTATCTCTAATAGTATCGATCTTAGAAGTAAAGTAGTTCATAAAGTCATTACTGCTGTGCTGTTGGGAAATGTCAACACCTGTTGATGCTTTATTTTTCGTTAGTTTAGCCACTGTATTGAATAAATACTTGGGGTTATGTTTGTTTTCTTCTAAAAGAGACAAAGTAATCAGATCTAGCAGTTTTTAATGCTTTTCTGTAGGATAGGGTACTTTCTTGCCAAGCAATACAAAATACCTCTAGTTTTGTTTTCCTCCAGCTGTGCCTCCGGGCTGCTCTCTTTAAGGTGCGAGTGTGCTCATTATACCACAGTGTCAGACTATTTTCCTTAATCATCCTTAAGCGTAAAGGCGCAACCATATCTAAAATGCTAGAAATGAGAGAGTCCATGAGCTATTGGATATGCTGAGGAATTTAGATAAATCAGGAAGATTACTTGCAAAGCAGTCTTTTGTGGTAGAAGCGATGGTTCTACCATACTTGTAACAAGGAGTAGAATTTACAGTTTTAGTTATAAGAAGTTTGCACGAGACTAGATAATGATCTGAGATATCATCGCTTGGCTGTGTAGGAAACTTTTTCCTTGTCAAAGCAGAGACCAGGAGACCTTGGGATTATCTTTCATACAGAAGTTACTCTTTATTGAGGACTTGCTGCAGTCATCCAAGTCTGACTATAGCTCAGCACAGACGAGTTTATACCTTTCAAGGGGGGGGGGTCTCATTATCATAGAGACAAAGGCACAGCTGTGCCTTGAGCTTAGCATTCACCTTTAACTTGGGACCCTGCCCAATGGTCAGGAAGTGCATAAAGACAAAAGGTTAATGTCTCAGACACCTGGGCTGCCTGACTTGATCTTCTTAGAATGTCATCATCTTTACCTCAAAATGTAAAACACAATGTACATAACTTTTTTCAGTTTATATACTATTACATTGGAACCTAGATATAACATTTTATAAATTTGTAATCCAACATCTGCATAATTTCAACACCATCAACATCAATTCCATGTGACAGTATTAAATCTAGAGTATGATTTCGACAATGAGTAGGTCCTGACACGTGTTGTCTAACCCCAGTAGAGTTCAAAATGTCTATGAATGCTGATCCAAATGCATCTTTTTCATTAACATGGATATTAAAATCACCAACAATTAAAACTAGGGCTGCACGATAAATCGCATGCGATATTTAACGCGCATCTTGTCAGAAAGCCGGTTCTGTAATCAGCGGTAAATCTCCATCACGTGCGTGCTTTCACATTGAGCAGCATTAACTACACAGAGCCGTTGTTCACTGACGAGCTGCGCAAAAAATCGCGCGAATATGAACATGGTTTTGCGCAGCTCGTCAGTGAACAACGGATCTGTGTAGTTAATGCTGCTCAATGTG